GAATGCCATGGTCTCCACTCCTACCGGTATGAGGGTATGAGGCTCTGCAAAGCAGTGGAACATCTCCTGAGAGCTGCCAAGATGCATCCCACTCCTCCAGGACAGTGGTTGTGGCAATCTTCTATTCTCCTGCCCTGTTCTTTCTTTGATCACCTCCTTCTAGCAGTTTCATGGCAATGACTGGCTCAAAGGGATATAAAAAAGCAAAGGCGGCTATTATACTAAAGGAATCTATTAATATTCAGGCATTTACTCAAATATTGTCCACATTTTTCCAAGATTTGCCCTCAAAAAGAATACAGGCAACAGAACCTAACCTATTTTTCCTTCACATGCTAAGCCCCAGGCCATGCTGCCTGGTCTACAGCTAACGGTCTAGAAAGCATCCCATCAACCCTGAGCCATCTCTTCCAGCCCCAAAGTTATATCAGTCACCACAGAGAATCAAAAAGAGCACAGAAGAGCCATATGTGCACAAATTAATTGAGGGTGATCTAAAGACTCATTTCTTCTACACAGACCTTGGCATTTGGGGTCACTTGAGATGCCTTTCAGTATCCCACCTGGCCTTCCATTACAAGTCCAGAAAAGCATAAGTCTCCTGTAGATCCTGGGTGACATGTAATAGCCCTATGCAGACATCTCAGATGGCCTAAGGCCCCTCAAATGGTGCCAGGTACCTTTGGGAGAGTAACTGAATTGTGTCATATAGTCTGTCCAGTTGTTGTTTTCAAGCCTCTATTGACTAGATCTCCATGGAGTATGAGAAGACTCTAGACAAATAATTTTCCTATAGGCACCTACATTCAGCTAACATAATGAGGAACTGAATGATACATGTGTTCTGGTTCGAGTTAGAACAGAACTAATTCTTTTCAGTGATTTTTACTTTTCAGCTCAGTCTCTTCTAACTAACTGCACTGTCTGAAGTTGGCAGCATATTTTCACGGATAGTTTCTGCTTCTAGCAGTGATAACACCTAATGTTTACAGTTACTCCCAAGGTCTGGTATGCAGACCAAGGTCACTGCTAAATCCTGTATACCACATTGGGGGGTGTATAAAGTGAAAGGCTGCAGCTGTGGGGAGGAGCAGACAGGACAGGTGACCCTAAACTGACCAACAAGGTATTCCATCCCATATCCAGCATATTCAGTATAAAGTTGAGAGATCACAAGGGTCAAGCTCCTCTTCAGTAGACAGCATCCAAGGATGGTGTCCTTCACTCGTTCAAGAGTGAAAATTGAAAGAGTTCCATCAGTTCTGCCTTCAACCCAAATCCATGTGTTCCTGAATCCACTTCCAGAATCCAGCTCATGAATCTGGTTGCTGTCTGCTGCTGAGTCCAGTCTGGGGCTTCTCCAGTGCCTGCTCTATAGCATCCATGGTGTCAGTGACATAGCTGACATCAGGGAGGTTGGGTTCAATGTTGGTTCTGTATGTATTTGTACATATTTCATTTTATTATAAATATTTTCTTTAAAGCTGTTTTAGCTTTCTAATATGTAAGACTCACTTCCTTATTCCTTCCTCTTCTTCCCTTTGGGAAGGGAGAGGGGTTAGTAGAGAGCAATCTGTCATTCTTCTGATGGACGGCCCTGACCCTAAACCTTGACAATATGTATTTATGTGCCTACAAATTAATCTCAGTTTTGATGTAATCAAATGCAACTATTAACATTAATACTTACAACGATATTAGACTTACAAAATAAGTGTTCTCTGAGTTGTGAAACACTATAGGACAAGCCTGCTTTGACATTCACTGCTGTATTAGCTGGGTTTTTTTCTACACATTCAACCTTCCCACACTGGTTGTGTATTCTATTAAACACCTATTAAATTCAAAATCAGTACAGACTTGCTGAGTTGTCTGAGGACCTCACATGCAAGATTAGTTTTGCACAACCACTTGTTAGTGCTGAATTTCACCTAGAGACTGTTCTGGGAGCTGAATGTACATGTTCTGAGTTGAATTTGCCTATGTGCAGTGGAGAACACAGGCTGAAGAAAGGAGTATAACTTTATACAACCGGTTGTAATCATTGTGTGTGGTGAAGATGGATGGTGGCACCTGTTCACATCTGTTCCTTAGTAATTCTGTACCAGCTTCTGCCCTGATAGGATGTCAGAACAAAAAAATCCCAAATATTCTTTAATTTGGTGTAGGA